GATGGTAATACATATAGTAACATGTGTACCCTGGCCACAGCTGCCTGTAAACCAGAGAACAAAGATACCCTGAAGGTTGCTTATGATGGTGCTTGCCGCGGTAAGTACCATTTGCTTGACTGGTTTAAGTTGACATTAATGCCATTTACTCAGTTGCACAATGACCATTTCCATCTATGAGTTAKCYGTRCCCTCGCATTGATAACACARRTGGTTGGTASRCTTGTGGCTACAAAAAAGGYTTTGGAATATCCAGTATAGGATGCATAAGTATAATCATTGTCCCATAAGAACTACATCCAGAATTGCTAAAAAGTCTTTAATTAAATTATCCGAGAAGACTGTCTTCCCTGCAGCCCACGTTCGGTTTGGTTTCTGCCAAGAAACAAAGGACTCCTACAAAATACAACTGATTTTGATTTACGATTTGCTGGCCATGAAAAGTGTTACAGTCTTTTTTTTTTTTTTTTAATTATTTTATTCGCCCATTGAGAGCTTCTCATTTCATGGCCGAAGCAATGCGTGCTATGGGAACAATAATAAAGCGAAGAGGAATTTCGGATCTTTTTTAAGTAATAAATTATTTGAACTTTATTTTATTGGCATTTTTCAGCTGCAGTGGATCACGTGATCTGTTGGTGCATTTAACCAATAGCATTTTCTCTTCCTAGATAATAATGAGTGCGAAAACGAAGAGGCACAATGTAGTGAATATGCTGATTGTATTAATACACGAGGCTCGTATGTTTGTCGATGTATCCCTGGATTCACAGGCGATGGCACAACCTGTACAGGTACGACTTGTTGCTAGAAAAAAACAGGTTTTAAGTTCGAGTTCAACGAGAAAATAATGTATCCTGCAAAAAACTAGATTGACACCACAGATTGATCGACAGTCAAGAACTGACCACATTATTCGGCAATGAACGTGACGTTTCAACAACGTTGCAATAGCCCACTTCCGAGATATGCTTCGCTTGTCACGCACAAAGGTTTCAGTATGAGGCTACGTGCTAAATGCTCAGTCATTCGTGACAGGCGGTAGGAATAAATTTAAATTAGCACGTAGACTCATACTGAAACCTTTGTGCGTGACAAGCGAAACATATCTCGGAAGTGGGCTATTGTGTTAGCATTGCAGGACAGGCGTGGCAATAGAGGACATATCCGACCTTACATCTTAGGGCGGCAGCCACGCAATGTTGTTTCTATGGGCTGTGACACTAAAAAAACCTTCGCAACACTTTTTGACTGTTTGGCTATATATGCTACCAAAGTAATGACATTGACTATTTTTCTTTAGCTGTCCAATCAAATAAAGCCGTCAATCCTTGTGACATGAGTCTTTGTGCATTCCCCACTATTAACTGTGTGGTCGTCAACAACACTGCTACCTGTGAATGTCCTAAGGCTTGTACGAGAGAATACAGACCCGTGTGTGGTACGGATGGTAATACATATAGTAACATGTGTACCCTGGCCACAGCTGCCTGTAAACCAGAGAACAAAGATACCCTGAAGGTTGCTTATGATGGTGCTTGTCGCGGTAAGTACTATTATCATTCCTGTACATTGTCTTCTAGAATCCTTGTTGTTTACTCATTGCGACCTGCAATGGGCAAACTTCTAAAGAACGGGACGCCAGAGTTGAGGCGAGTGTACTAGCGCTACGACATCCTTGATTTACACCCTTGGGTGGCATGGACGGTGTACGCTGCTAATGCGTCGTCTTTCTCCACTGTGAGTCCAACTGGTCGGGTCGCTGGTTCCAGTTCTGCTTACGCCACATGTGAATTGAGTTTGTTTGATGTGTTGTTCTCTCCTGTGCTACGAGGATCTTTCTCCGGGCTCTCCGGTTGTCTCCCTCCATGAAAATCAACATGTGAGTTGAGTTTGTTTGATGTGTTGTTCTCTCCTATGCTACGAGGATCTTTCTCCGGGTTCTCCGGTTGTCTCCCTCCATAAA